AGTCCAAACATTTCACAGGCCCATATTTATGTACATGGCACCCCTCTGCCCAGGCATTAAATGGTGTAAGAGACAGTATGGCATAATGAAAGTGCCCTAAATAAGAAGTGACAGGGTCTGGGATCAAATCCCCCAGTAGTTTTACTAATAGTGATGACCTCGATCAAGTCCCTCTGAGCTTCATTTTCCTAATTTACAAAAAGAATGTGGAAAGGGAGGGGAAATCAATGAACTTGCAGAGGGTGACCCATGAGAGATGTATACATTGTCACCCTCCCCCAGACAACACTTGATGTCTAGCCCACTGTCTTGTGGATACAAGCATGCTGTCACTCTCCACCTGCTTGGATTGTAATCTACACACCAAAAGAACATTTTGCTCTTTTAGAACAGAGGCAGCAATTTAGTTAGCCAAGTGTGGCTTACAGAGGTCTTTTCTTTGACTCCCACTGAGTTTCGACAAAGTTTTAAGGCAACAGTGAAAACTGAGGAAATGTCACATCATAACCTGGGTTTGCAGCTGCTACTAAAAACCTGAAAATTCTTACCTCGTGGCTCTGCAGTTCTACCTGGAAGATATCTACTAGAGCTGAAGAGTTTAGCCCTTATGCAAGTTCTCCACAGTCTACACCAGCCCTAAACATGACCCTAACCTTGAGACTGAATGTCAATTGCCATTCATCTCATGCCTATTTTTATTTTTCACATAATACTTTTTTTTTTCTTGAGCCTCCTTTGAAAGTAGGGAAATGAAAGCTGGCCATAGAAGATTGCTTGCTTCAAGGAAATGAGTATGAGCACTTTGTTTGTGAAAGTGTTCACTATGCTCTATCTGGTCATCTTCAGTCATTTACCTTACCAAACTGCCCCCTTCAGCCCCTGGAGACTTTGCGCCTGCTTGAGAAGATTGTAACGGCCATTCCGGAATTAATACAATGGAAAGATGCCAAAACCACTTAAGATTTTATTTACTAGATGGACTAATGTACAAAGTCATTTAACTTTTCTGGGCTTCAGAGTCCTCTTGTGTAAAATGAAAAGGCTGGGTTAAGTGATCTCTAAGGCACCTCTCAGCTTTAAATGCCATGATGTTAAAGTTTTCATTCTTATAACGAAGTCCTCATGACATTACTATCATAAATATGTACCCTATTAAAAGTAGTCATCATGGTTTTTCCTCCAACCTAAGGCAGATTTCAGTGACTACATCCATCCATTTATCATGTTGATAGTGTATATTGTGGATATCATAGCTTCAAAATGAAAACACTGTTCAGATTCAACGTGTGCCTTTAAAATGCACTTATGTTGTGCATTTGTAGCTTTGAACTGATAAGGTCGTGACTCTGGCAAGTCCTCATCAGCTGTGAGCTGCACTTGAAGTACTTTGCTACTAATAATGCCTAAAGTACTAAAGCTCACTAAATGGAGAATCAGAGCAGATTCAAAGTATTACCAAAAGAAAGCTGATTATGGTCTCATAAACCCTGATATAATTTTTGAATGGAAAAAATACACAAGTTACAGTCCCCCCATCGTAATTTCCACTGGACCAAGAGCCATTGCTGGGGAACTTTAAAAAATACCAATGCTTGGTTCATACCCCCAGAGATTCTGACTTAATTGGTCTGGTGTGCAGTCTGGAAAAAAATAATTTTAAAACATCTCAAGTGATGCTAATGTAAAAACACTCGTCTAATAAGAATATTGTTTGTAGACTGTGAGCAATAGCCAGGTTGCCCAGACAAAAGATTGAAAAAATACTACAGCGACATCAACTTCATAGTTTTCTTAGTGTCTGCTTTTCTATTCAGAATCTAACATGCTTGATTATATCATATAAAATTGTTTCCATGTTGGACAATGGAGAAGTTTGAGGGGAATTATATAACAGTATTTTTTAGTATCTCCTTGGTGATTATTTTCTGGTATGAGCTAGAGTTTCATGTTAGAGTTTCATCCCCAATTTATTAAGTAGCATAATTTTTATGATGACGTTTGTTTCAAATACATGACATAACATCATAGTTTTTGGGTTACTAAAGAAAATGGTGTTGAACTTAAACAATTCAAAAAGGTGATCACTACACTGCATAGATTTTTTAGTTTATAGACAGTAAATGCTCCCCACAGCTCAAAGAAAAGGTACAGTAACTTTTAGAACACTTACATGAGAACCATGCCCAAGAGACCCTTCTCTGTTGTTCCATATGCTTAGACATCCTATCTACAGCAGGTAGAAGTGAGAGTTATAAAGAAGGAAGTGACTCCAGAAGTTACCTGGCTCTGCAGTTTTATTTTACAGATAAAAAATTGAGGTTCTTTTTTTTTTTAAAGATTTTATTTATTTATTTGAGAGAGAGAATGAGAGATAGAAAGCATGAGAAGGAAGAGGGTCAGAGGGAGAAGCAGACTCCCCGCTGAGCAGGAAGCTTGATCCCGGAACTCCAGGATCATGACCTGAACCACCCAGATGCCCCAAAAATTGAGGTTCTTGATAAAAGATGATTTGTCCCTATTAGTAGATGGCAAAACCAGAAGAACTCTTATCCATATTCTAGTCTGGGATTCTTTCTCTTGTACCATCAGAATCCCACAAATTCTCCTCCTCTTTCCGTGAAACATCCATTCTGCCATTTTTACTTGTCCTAGAATTGTGATGGAAAATGATACATATTGATGTGTCTTAAACAATGATTCTTGAATGCTGTGCTATCTTTGCATATGATATATACATCCTGATTTAGAAGATAATAAGTCAGTATAGGTTTACTTGGATTTCTGTATAATTAGCTTCCAAAGTAAATATGTTGATCACATCTTTGGTTGATTATTATGGTCTTCTACTGCTGTTATACTAATACTTTTCCCATCTCCAACTGGCTTTACTTTTTGCAGCTTTGAGCAGTAATTCAGTCCCCTACGCCTCCCTGATTGGCTCTGTGTCCTCCCTCTCTAGCCAAACCACCACTCAGTCCATATATGATAATAACTCTCTCCCACGATTCGCTCGGAAAGGTCTAAACATCTTTGTCTCTTTATTTTCTCTGTTAAAGCACTGTAATGGATGTCTACATCAGTCCATTTCCATTTCCAGATAAGCCTAGAGTCTCTTGTGCCTTTGCATTTCCATTCTTGTCATTGGGGGTGCCTCATCTGGATAAGATCACTTTAATTATTAGACCACTGTCACCCACCTATTCCCTCCACAGAATATAAATTAGTTCAATTCTACCATCTTTATGGAAAAGTTCCAGAAATGGGCTCCAACATTTTGATTCAAATACATAATTATATCTGCAACAAAGAGTTTCTATTTCTAAGCCAACTCATTTTTATGGGATCTTCCATTAAGATTTTAGTTGACTGGAAGCTATAAACACTAAAACACCACCTATTATAACACTGTACTAAAAGGATTGCCTGGAAGAAGCAAAATAGTTTTTTACTTAACTTACCAGAACTATTGATAATTTGACATTCGAGATAATGGAACTTATTAGGTGGCTTTCAATAAATGGCACAATTTCTAAAATGCCCATAAAGTAATCACGTCTTGTTGACTTATGGTCACCATTCCATAGCCTAGTACCTTCCAAAGAGTCCCAGGACAGCAGAATGTCAAGTTGACCTCCAGTTTGAGCTCCTCCCCCGTTCTTTTTCAGCTTCAGAGGCTTCCCTGGGGGCATGCTAGTTGAAGTTTTTCTAGCCAGCTGGAATTTGTAGCCATAAGACATGAGTCAGCGATGCTCTCTCATGGTGCTCTTAAAAAATTTAATCACAAAGAAATGAAATGTAAATCACATGAAAAGTGCAAAAACATTGGAAAGACACAGGAATCACCAAAATTAGTAGTGGATTATTTTTAACAGAATCTGTGAAATATATCACTTCAGCTGGCAGACTGAACTAAGATGTGCTGTCCCTGTCACTGCTTTCTTTCTTTTTCCATCCCCTTTCCCTCCTTGTCCCTTCATCATCTGCTCACTCTCCTGCATTCATTTCCCATTTGTGGACAAAGATGTTTACACCTGAAGTAGATTGTAGGTTTGCTGGGGGTTGAAAAATGGGGACTTGGGGCAAATACCACAAAACTGTTAGTGTGGCCATTTATAAATGTCCAGGTGAAGGCCACAACCCCAACCTCTACAATCTGCTACTAGTGGAAACATTTTTGAAACTCAGTTTGGTGTCTGATTTTGTCATCAGTGATTATCGTCTATGAACTGTGGTGCATGTCATTCTTTGTGTCCATGTTTGCATGTGAATGTCAGTCACCTCCAGGTCTGTGAAATATTTAAACGATCTTAATCAAGTCACAATGTCTAGTGAATCCTGTAAAAACGTGCAGCATTTTTATTAGTCCTTTAAAAAAAGTATATCAGACTATCCATTTCATTTTTTTAACAAATTCGTTCTATTTTATTTTATTTACATCATCATTTCCTTTGCAGGTTCAGATGATTCCGGTTACCCTGGTAACCTTCATTCTTCAAGTTAGTTTCCCTTGATTATGCATAAGTCACTTTATGTTTCCTATCAAGCTACTACTCTTTCCCTTTTAGGTCTTTCTCAGTGTCTGTTTTCTTAGTTCACTTTACACCATTTAATTCCACACAATTTCCATTTCACACAGTGCAGGAAAAGGAGTTTGAAATGACCTAACAGTCATTACTCAAAGCAGAAGTTGACATCAAGTCTGACTGTCAGTTTTCTCCACTCTAACCATATTGATTCATAGCACAATAACGCTTTCTTTTACACTAGGAGTGTTAGTTTGGGGATTATGCTTGGTGACTTTTCATTTGGCTACAAAATTCATCCTTCCCGAGCATGTCCTGCTTTGAGTAACCAAACTATCTGCCTGCTTCCTCACATTAAACATTTTTACTACTCACATATTTTCAGGCCATTTCTAACTATAGTATTCTCTATATTTTGGAATAGTCACCATTGTTTTGCATTTGTTTTCAAATGTGTTTCTTCTTTCCTTTTAATAGGTATGGCTAGCCATCCTCCAATTCCTATCTTGGAACTTGCAGATCACATTGAAAGGTTGAAAGCAAATGACAACTTGAAGTTTTCCCAGGAATATGAGGTATTTCAGTGCATTTATACTTGCAAGTAATTTCAAGAGTTGTCCCCCTCTTCTATTCTTAAAAACTAACTTCATTGGTGTTTTTTCTTTTAAACATGACTGTGAGTCAGATATAGAATTTGGTAGTAAATAGGCAACTTAAAAGTGTCTGTAAAATCAATATAGTAGTTGCAGTTTTAAGATGTGTTGAATATCTGATATTCAGTGTTAATGAGGTTGATTTTTCTTTTCTGGTTTTTAGTTCATAGAATATATTGAATTGATAAACTCCCTTGTATACCAGATGGGTGCTAAATACACTAATTCGTGGCCAGAAGCCTCCCTGAAAAAGAGATTTGACAGGGAATAAGTCGATTTCTCTGTATACTTAGTTTTCCTTGACCTTAAAACCCTTTAATTATGTATACAACGTATATGAGCATGATTTTAGCTTTCAGTCTTAAAATAATGCCAGAATTAATATTAAGATAGTAATATGTTCCTGAAAAGTTGCCTGTTTTTGAAGCAATGGTGAACTGAATAGTATCTTAAAATTCTAGAATCCCTATAAGTTCTGTGTGAATTCTTGATGAAAGTGAATGAAAAGTCTTTGTATATTTGTGTGCATTTGGACATTGTGGTATTTATCAAGTAGAAAGTTTTAAAATTGGATATTTCTGATATTCCCCAGCAATAGGGACTCATTCTAAAACCAACTCATGAATTGATAACTAAACCATCATTATTCTTTTAGGTCAAATTTGACTTAGCATAAGTCAAATTAAAAGGTACAACTAAAGTCTTATTGTGCCAAACAACAAAAGATTGTTGGGTACCTGATTCCATAAAGAGTTTCTATTGATTTACTTAATGGGAAAGTCTTAAAACACATCCCTGTTACCCCTCTTGGTTTCTGTTGTATCAACTTTTTTTTTCTTAAGTTTTTATTTAAATTCTGGTTAGTTAACATACAATGTATTATTAGTTTCAGGTATAGAATTTAGTGATTCATCACTTACATACAACACGTAATGCTCATCACCACAAGTGCCTGTTGTATCAACTTGAAATGAGGCTGTTGTATTAGATGATCTCCCAGTTCCCTACCAGTTCTAACATGCTTAAAGGATTCTTTTTTTTAAAGATTATTTATTTATTTCAGAGAGAGAGCTTGCACATGCACGAGGAAGTGCACAAATAGGGGGAGGGACAGAGGGAGAGAATCTTCAAGTAGACTCCCTGCTGAGCATAGAGTCCATTGCAGGACTCCATCTGAGGACCCATGAGATCATGGCCTGAGCCAAAACCAAGAGTCAGACGCATAATTGACTGAGGCATCCTGGCGCCCTCAGTTCTAACGTTCTACCCTTTCAGTGAGAACCGCTAAGAGGATCCCCAACCTCAAGTGGCTCTATAGGTTTCAAGTATGTGAAGAAGATCCATGTAAGAAAATCTGGAGTAGTGGGGCCTGTGGCAATCTGGATATTTGATTGGACTTTCTGAAGTCTTCAAATTGTCACTTTTTCATTATTTTAAATTAGTGTGTGAAGCAAAACATATCTGTAGCACCATGGACCTCCACCCTTAAGATCCAGGTAGCCTTTTTATTCAATTTGAATATCCAGCATCTTTGTCAAATATTCAATAAGACACAAAGGGACTTTATTTTTCTGATTGGCTAAACTGTATATATTTTTTTATTCTCTTCGCAGCATTCAGAGGAACACTTTTAATTTTAGGAAACTCACATTGGATTATGAATTGTGTCATTTTCTCAAATGGTCTGCTTCTTATTCCTTCCCTGTTCTTCTTGGCCATAATGGCTATTTTTAAATTATGTAGTATTTTTTAAAACAGTTTCTGTAGGTTCTAGTTTGGGGCTTGAGGCTGCAAATTGAGTTTTTAAATAAAAGAAAACAAGGCAGATGATATGTGCTACCTGGGGCAACATAAAAAACTCTTAGCAATCTTTTACCTTTCCAACCTGCTCTTTATTGTTATCGTGATTCTTCTTATTCTCTTGTTATGTGATATATTTTCTTTATGGCCCCACTTTAATACTTGATTTTGAATGATATAATGGGTCACAAAAAATTAAAAATTGATAGCTCAACCTAAAAGTCAGTAATTCACTCACTACCAATATAACTTTAAACCATTGACAATATTTGCATCACTCAAGAAATCTGTTATATACATTGACTACAATAACCAGCTTCCTTTTAAAATGGAATTTCTCTAGAATACTACATGTAAAGATACTGTAATGATACTCATTTAGCCTTTAAATCAGAAGTGTTCCTTAAAAGCAGTTATGAACTGCATGCTGCCAATGTTCCCATTAAAAACTCCCCCAGTAGCCGTTGACATGATAGCCCACACTGACTTTTCACCATTTATCATGACGATGGTCTGTGATTAAAGCTCCCTGGGCATGAATTGACTCTACTGTGCCTTAACAGCCATGAAGGAGATATTTAAATGTTCTATTCATCTGTGATAATAAGATAAAGACCTCTATATAATATTTTCGGCCACAGAGCAACACTTTGAAAAAAAATTGTATTTTACTTGTTATCTTCCATATAAATTTGAATAGATTTTTTTATTAGTTTTTAGTGAAGAAAATGGAAGAAGACAAGGCACATTACCTTCAAACATCTAATTATTTTGGCATAATCACTGTGAATTAATGATTACTCAGACCTCTCAACAGGAATGAACCTAAATTTGTTACTCTAACTCTAAGACTGAAACAGAGGTTAAAGACATGGAGGCTGCTTACACTGATTCTGAGGTCAGAATAGGAAGAAGCAGATTTAGATATGCCCAGCATTATTAGATCATGTGAGAACTTCCTTTATTGTAAAGGAAACTGGGCTCAGACATTGGATTTAATGACAGCTGGAAGAAGAACCTGAGAAATTAGTAGCAAGAGCACTCCATCTTGAAAATATTTATAAATAATTCTGGTTTCATTTTCTGATATGAGACTGTAAAGTTTTACTAGAATTTAAGGAGCCAGGATTTGAAGATGACATCAAGAATGCAGGGAATAAAGTTCTCTTGACATTTGGTATCTGTCAAAGCCATCGCATGAGCTGGTGAATCTTTGAACAGATTCAGAATAGTATGTATAGGTCTTACCAAACAAATTAGCTAATGACTGTGAATCTTTTGGAAGCCTAATTAAAATTCAGATTTCTGGTCCCAACACCAGAAATGCTGATGCAGTAGGTCAGCCATGACAACCAGGAATGTCTGTTTTATTTATTTTTCCCCAGTTTCATTGATATGTAATGGACATATAACTGTATACTAGTTTGGGGTATACAATGTAATTATTTGATATATGTGTATATATTACAAAATGGTTACCGCAATTAGTTTAGTTAATATCTATCACCTTACATAATTACAAATTTTTCTTATAGGAACTTTTAAGATCTACCTTCTTAGCAACTTTCAAAATAAAATATTGTTAACTATTTTCATCATGTTGCACGTTATGTCCCCAGGACTTATTTATCTTATAACTGGAAGTTTGTACCTTTTAACCACCTTTACGCTTTTTCTCCTATCCCCTACTCCACCCCAACCTCTGGCAGCCACCAATCTGTTCTCTATTTTTGTGAGTTTGTTTTTTTTTTAAGATTCCACATATAAGTGAGATCATACAGCACTTATCTTTCTCTGTCTGGCTTATTTCATTTAGTACATTGCCTTCAAGATGCATCCATGTTGTCACAAATGTGACATCCATGGACACTTAAGTTGTTACCATGTTTTGGCTATTGTAAGTACTGCCACAATGGATATGGGGATGCAGATATCTCTTATTCAATTTACATTCCCACCAACAGTGCACAAGGGTTCTCTTTTCTCTACATTCTTGCCAATATTTATTTCTTGTCTTTTTAATGACATTCTAAGAGGTATGAGGTGATACCTCTTTGTACTTTGATTTGCATTTCCCTGATAATTAGTGATGTTGAGCACCTTTCATGCACCTGTTGGCCATATGTATGTCTTCTATGGAAAAATGTTCATTCAGATCCTCTGCCTATTTTTTAATTGGCTTGGATTTTTTTTTAATTTTGTTTTTGTTTTTCTATTGGGTTGTGTGAGTTTTTTCTACATTTTGAGTAGTGACTCATTAGATATATAATTTGCAAATATTTTCTCCCAGGTAATGTCCATTTTAAAAGAGCAGTCCAGGTGACCTTGATGAAGGTGCTCTGAAGACTTTAATTTAAGAAACATCATTGGTTTAGGGTAATATATTTACAGAGCATCATCCTCCAGTCTTCATTTTATCATCCCCTGAGATGGAAAATAAACCAAAGTATAAGATTCATTTGACACGTATCACAGTCAGCATTATCATTATCAATACCATATACATAAATCCTATTTATATTAGACTGATTGTAAGTAACTGCAGCTCCTACAGTTTGTTTAAGGGGGGAAAAGGAGAAGTTCACTTTATTTACTATGAATTATTTATTATAAATTTATTTATTATAAATTATCTATTATAAATACAAAGGCTAACAATATAGGTGTGCTTCAAGAACTGTTGTTTGGATTTCCTGACATCCTCTTTGAAATTTTCATCTTTGTGTTTTTATCTGGACTGACCTCATTCTTCCCCTTGTATAGGCCAACTTCTTTTGTTTCTTCCACCCACATATAGAAAATGTGGCCTTTGATCATGTTTCTATTAACAGAGCATCCCCCTGAAGAATGAGACCAAATTTTTCTTTTCATTCAGATTCCAAATGCCAGAGAACAAACTCTGAACTCTGGTTGACTCATTTTGTTATGGAGACACACATGAGGACATAGCTGCTAACAGTCTACCCATATAGATCTTGCTCCTTCCTTGGGTTGGAAAGAGGGAAGTCATTATGGAAAGAAGCTTGTGAGGTGGGAGGAAGAACCAACAATTATCTACCAAAACACTACAGAAAAGCACTATGCTAAGTTCTGGCAGGAATAAAAGTTATAAAAAACCTTTA